GACCCTTTTGGATTGAGATTCAGAAAAAGGCAACAAAAATGATTAGGGATTTGGAACGGATCCCATGTGAGGAGAGATTAAAAAGACTGGGACTTTTCATCTTAGAAAAGAGGATACTAAGTGGGGATATGATAGAGGTCTATAAAATCATGCCCGGTGTAGAAAAAGTGAATAAGGAAAAGTTATGTACATTAACCTGAGAACTAGGGGCCACCAAATGAAATTAATAGGTAGCAGGTTTAAAACCGACAAAAGGAAGTTTTTTCTTCATACAGTGCACAGTCCACCTGTGGAACTCCTTGCCAGAGGATATGATGAAGGCTAGGATTTCAACAGGGTTCAAAAAAGAGCTAGATGAATTCATGGAGATTTGGTTCATCAATGGCTATTAGCAGGGCTCGACAAATAATGTAATTTACTCGCCTATGGCGAGTAGATTACAACCCAGAAGAGCCGGTGCAGAGCGATCTGCGCATGCGCAGAGTGCAGAACTGCACGGCTGGTGAGCGGGGCTCGCCACTGCTTGGTGAGCCCTGGCTATTAGCTAGGATGGGTTGGAAATGGATGAGAGAAGAGGTATCACTGGATGATTCCCTGCGCTGTTCACTCCCTCTGGGACACCTGGCATTGGCCCTGTCAGAAGACAGGATACTGGGCTAGATGGACCTTTGGTCTGACCCAGTGTGGCCATTCTTTGGTTTAAAATGTGTATATTTTGAGCAGAGGAATGAGGCATTAGCAATTACTGTGCATGCATGGATTAGTGCAGTAATAGTCTATAGTATTCACTGTAATGTTCATATATACAGCAATTGTTAGTTACCCCCTTTTTTTCCTGCAACAAGCTTTAGAAACATTGGTTCCATTAATGTGGATAATGTAAAGTAATGCACATTGTACGTATAGTTGGGGTTATTTTTTCCAGTATGATGGGGGCTAATTTGGCTATGACAAATCAGGAAAGAGATCTTGGAGTTTTTGTGGATAGTTCCCAGAAAACTTCCACACAGAGTGCAGCGGCGGTCAAAAAGGCAAATAGGATGATAGGAATTAAGAAAGGGATAGTAAATAAGACCCAGAACATCTTTCTGCCCCGTATAAAATGATGGTACGCCCACATCTTGAATACTGTGTACAGGTGTGGTCTCCTCACCTCAAAAAAGATATTTTGGCCTTGGAAAGGGTTCAGAAAAGGGCAACTAAAATGATTAGGGGTTTGGAACGGGTCCCATATGAAGAGAGGTTAAAACGACTGGGACTTTTCAGTTTAGAAAAGAGGAGAGTGAGGGGGGATATGATAGAGGTCTATAAAATCATGAGTGGTGTGGAGAGGGCAATAAAGGAAAGTTATTTATTAGTTCCCTAAATAGAAGAACTAGAGGACACCAAATGAAATTAATGGGTAGCAGGTTTAAAACTAATAAAAGAAAGTTCTTCTTCACACAGCGCCTAGTCAACCTGTGCAACGCCTTGCCAGAGGAGGCTGTGAAGGCTAGGACTATAATAGAGTTTAAAGAGAAGCTAGATAATTTCATGGAGGTTAGGTCCATAAAAGGCTATTAGCCAGGGGATAAAATGGTGTCCTTGGCCTCTGTTTGTCAGATGCTCGAGAGAGATGGCAGAAGAGAAATCGCTTGATCATTGTCTTCAGTCCACCCTTTCTGGGGCACCTGGTGCTGGCCACTGTCGGCCGACAGGATACTGGGCTAGATGGACCTTTGGTCTGACCCAGTCCAGCCGTTCTTATGTTCTTTAACTTAATGCTTTTTGGGGGAATACCACTATTTTTTTAATTGAAGGATCGTCTGTTGTGTTAAAAAAGGACAGCTTCCTGTTTATCTCGTAAGTGACCTGACAAGGGAAAAAATGGGTTAGTGATTCTTCTGCTTCTTTATGATGGATAAGGAAGGCCTGCAAGTTTTCTATGAATTTTGCTTGTCTTGTCTAGCCTGGAATACCCTAGTGATCGGAGAACTATTGAAATGACAATGTTAGGAAAGTGAAGAGACTAATATTAGAAATTGAGGGGGTGGGGGAACTGTTTACTACTTTTGACTTTATTAAGTATTACCATTTCCGCAAAATAACCACTGAAGGAAATTTATTTTTTTTGTTACATATTTCTACTTATCAAATGATTAGCAGCCGAGGTTTAAAGGAGCCTGCAAGAGAATGTTCAAATGACTATTGTACCTCTTTTGCTTCTTTATCATGCATTCAAGTCTGAAGGAGATGCGTGGTGGGTTTCATTTCTTTTTACTGTATATAACACACTGGTTTTGCTGACAAATACTAGAAGGGGTTCCTTATACCTAATTGAAATCATAGCATGGATAAGAACGGTTACTAACTTGTAACTGTTGTTCTTCGAGATGGGTTGCTCATGTCCATTCGAAGTAGGTGACTACCAAGCTACCCCCATGGAGGAGGGATCGGAACAGTCATAGCACCAGAGTCATAAAGGAAGGTGAACAATAAACAGATTTATTTGAACAATTAAACAGTGACAAGTCACCAACCCAGAACAAAGACAACCAGATCTATATATTTACATCACACATTCGAGGACTGCAGAACGCATCCTCCCTGGCCTGCTGAGGTAGCACATAATGTGTTGCAAATGTGTGAAGGGAAGACCAGGTGGCTGCCCTGCAAATTTTTGTGATAGGTACCTGGGCACCAAAGGCTACCGAGGACGCCTGCGCCCTGGTAGATTGTGCCTTCACCCTGGGTGGGGTTTTACCAGCCAGTTGATAACACTTCGCTATACATTGCGCCACCCATCTTGATAACCTTTGCGTAGAAATAGGTGAACCTTTCCCCTTATCCCCAAATGCAACAAACAATTGTTGGGATTTACGGAAGGGCTTGGTTCAGTCAATATACAAAACCAGCGCTCAGTTGGCATCCAGGGAGTGTAGAACACGCTCCTTAGGGGAGATGTGTGGTTTAGGGAAGAACACCGGAAGATAAATCTCCTGAGACAGGTGAAAAGGAGAAACCACCTTTGGAAGGAAGGTCAGATGAGGCGCTACGGGTAAAGCTAGGGAAAATGCTCCGGAAGATGTGGTGCACGCGGCGCGCACACCTACTTCGAATGGACATGAGCAACACATCTCGAAGAACAACAGTTACAAGTTAGTAACCGTTCTTATCCATGCTATGATTTCAATTAGGTATAAGGAACCCCTTCTAGTATTTGTCAGCAAAACCAGTGTGTTATATACAGTAAAAAGAAATGAAACCCACCACGCATCTCCTTCAGACTTGAATGCATGATAAAGAAGCAAAAGAGGTACAATAGTCATTTGAACATTCTCTTGCAGGCTCCTTTAAACCTCGGCTGCTAATCATTTGATAAGTAGAAGAGAATTCAGAGGGCACATCTCAGACCCATGTTAATAATGAAACGCACTTTAAATGCAAAGCCAGTGCTTTCGCTGAATTAACTTGTGTTCTTTCACACATGCCACTGACAATAGTCATCATATTTTGAATACTTCAAGCAGCCAATGTTTCTCAGGTCTGCGCTTTTTGGAGGAGTTAATTTGTTAAATCTGGGGGAAGGCTAATCTGGAAGTTGGAACAGCAAAATAAAATAAATCAGCAAAAGACCATGTTTGTGCAGCCCCAGTTTGGTTTTATGTTCTGTTTTTTCAATTAGACCTGGCCTGGATTAGTGTGACCAATCTCTCCATGCAGCAGACCTGGAGAGATTATTTCACTTGGCTAAAATGTATTTTGCAGATACGCGAGTGATGCTGGCGCCTCTTAAAAATGAGTCAGTTGATTGCCAAGACCTGTTGGGTGTAGTCCTATTCACCAGTGCCATGCACCGGACAGTGCCTTGCAATCAGGCATGAGTTGTCTTTTGGGTTTTTTTTAACTTTTTTTGTTTTGTTTTGGCGACTGTGGTGATTTGGAATGCAGCAGCCCACATTTACAAATACATTTCAACTGCATTCTTCATCTTCCTTGGCCATCAAAAAAATTTGTGCCAGGAAAGAAATTTGCTGGTCCAAATGCTATAGTAGGACAGAATATCGATAAAGGATATTTGGAATAGTTGTACAGTTAAAAGGCTTGTTTATGAATGTTGTGAAATATAAATTGTCTAACTTTATCAAGCCCCTTTAAAACGATACACTTGATGTTTTGGATCTCTGTGAGATGATGTGCTGCTTTTTACACGAAGAAATGGTAATGAGCATTTGCAGCCTTTAATTTATAATGTCTCTGACAGCATTGTAGTGAATCGGATGTGAGATGCGTCTGATTATGTCTGCGTGCTGAAAATAAACCAGCTGGTATTTGTTCTGAAAGTGTTCAGAGAACGCCTTCTCGTTAATGGCCCATGGCCTGATCTGGCATCTGGTAAACTAATGCATTGTCATCCTTACAGGGAAAGTCACCACAAATCATTAATGATTCCCAAACCATTTCTGCTGTCTAAAATGGACCAATTACTGAGGAAGCTTTCCCATTAGCAGCATGATTGAATGATAGTAACCCAAGAGTAACTTATTAGCAGAAACTCTTTGAACAAAGACAATAGTGAACTGTTGATTCAATGCTTATTTATCCCTCTTAATCAAGGCAGGTGGTGTTAACAGGATTTAGTTCACATTGGTATTGCATCCAGAAGCACCTAATTGGATCAGGCTCCCATGCTCCTAGATGCTATGCAGACACACATAAAGAAAGTGTCTCTGCCCCAGAGAGTTGACAATCTGAAGGCCAGTTTGGCTCACCCCACTGATGTCAATGGGATTTCTTGTGGAGTAAGATCCCTTTGACAGGGTCAGTTTCTTTGCGCCTCTCAGGGAATATTTGAAATGTCCCCTCCCCCCAAAAGTGCAAATGAATGTTCTCGGGCCAAATGAAGGATCTGAGGAAGATCCATTTGATACTTTTCTATGCTTGCATTTTAAAAACGTATCGAGTGTCAGCTCTCCTCAGCTGGCCCCTCACCCACCATGTTTTTTAATGCATTCTTACAGGTATCCCGGAAGAGGTGGGCTAGACAAGGCATTTGAAGAAGAGACGAAGCCTTCGTTAAGGTCAGAGGTGGCGTTCCCTGTATAACTGTAGATTCCACTCTGATTCCACACCCGTGTGAATATTTTTAGGTCATGTGTTTACTGTTTGTCTTGCGACTTTTCAGTTTTCTATTGAATGAAACACACTGGAGCGTGAAACAGCGACTAGAGATGGCATCATGAGCTATCACGGACACAACCCCCTTGAGCATTTTCTTAATATTTCTCTTTAAACCGCTCCCCTCCCATCCTCTTGCTTAACAGATGATGCTGTAATCTAACTAGATGGCTCAAAGCATGTAGGCTGTACGTAGATGTCAAACGTGTAAAAGGCTGAGAGGGTTGTGAGCAGGGCTATCCAGTGGTTACGAATACAGCTTCAGAAATAATTTGGAGTTACTTGCCTTTTGGGGGGCAGAAGAAATAATTTGGAGTTACTTGCCTTTTGAGGGGCAGATAACTGTCAAAAATGTATGCCTTTTTTATGTCTCTGTTTGTATAGATTCAACTTCCTGCCAGTCCATCATGTTAGCCCGTTCTCAGCTAGAAAGAAAAACCAATTATTAAATAGTTACTCCCTGTGTAGATACTTACAGACTGTGATTACACCTGTTCTTGGTTAACCTAAATAGATTGAGCTTCTTGAGTTTACCACTGAGATCTGTTTTCAAATCCCTTAGTCATTTTTGCGGCCCTTCTCTAAACACTGTCCAATTTTTCATCTTTCTTCATGAATTGGGGGCACCAGAATTGGACCCAGTATTCCAGCAGCAGTTGCGCCAGTGCCAAATACAAAGTTGTAAAAGCCGACTGTTGCTACTCCTCTTGAAGCATGAGCTTATCAGTTTCCCAAATAGTTACATGCAGCTCCCAGGGTGTGGGGTGGCAGGTGAGAGCCAGTACGTATGGGGACCCGGTTCCTGGCACGCACTGGTTCCAGGAGAGCCAACTGCCGTCCCGTGCTGCTGCCTCTGTATCTGGGGTGGCAGGTAGGAGCACCGGGAGCTGGTACATGTGGGGAGCTGGCTTTAAGCTGGCTTGCGGTGTGCACAGGCTCATGGGGAGGTGGTGGTTACCTCACACTGTGGGTGCATTTAACTGCTGAAATTTTTCAGCAGTTACGCAGATAGCCAATTAACCTCATTTTATCATCCCTAATTGTTGGCTTGTGCCCAATTTATGCGGGATCTGGATCTCTGACTCAGTTACTACTCCTCAAATTCCTCTGCAAACTTCATTAGTGATTGTTTTCTTGACCCGTCGTCAATAAAAATACTGACTAACATATGGCCAAGGACAGATTCCCACAAGACCCTACTGGAAATACGCCCACTTTCTATTATATTAGTTTGGTTCAGATACTTTTTTGTATTGTCGTCATGCTAGCCACATATTGCCTGAGGTAACAGACGGTATATAGGAAAATAATATAAGCGACTTACTCCCCACCCTAGCACAAAACCCATTTTCCAAAAGGCCAGTCCTCTCTGCACAACGATTCTGTCCTTCGGCCACCTGTCGCCTTTGTAAAGTTTATATCAGTTGTTCCAAAGACGGCTGTAGGTGGTTTATTTTCTATTGTCGCTATTTGCTGTGTAAAGCATTTCTGCGTAAATTCTTTTAGTGCGTGACCTTTCTTTAGCTTAAGTTCGTGCCCTTTGTTCTTTTATTTGACATGAGCTTAGAACCTTGCAGAGTGTATAATTTTTTTTCCCTTCAGAATTCTGAATGCTTTGGTGTGATCCCCTGTTAATTTATTTTCCAAAGAACAGATCTAGTTTCTCTAACTTTTTTTACTATCCCAGATTCTCCAGGGCCTGCATAATTCTGGCTGACCTCTCTTGGTCGTCTCCATTTCTATGCTGTCCTTTCAATACAGTGGTAGTCAGGATTGTGCACGTTACTCTGTGTATGTGGCAAAGGTCTCATACACAGCCCTGTACAGAGTCCTGTGATATACTGTAGATTTTTATATTCCTATTTATGCATCCTAGATTTTTTTAAACATATTTTTATGCATAGATCCAAAGGACAAAATTTCCAAACATATGTTCCTAAAGTGAGTCGCCTAACTGGCGGGTCAGAAAAGAAGTGGGCTGATTTTTGAGTATCTGGACATCTGAGATCATGTTGAGGTTACATAGTTCTGAGGTAATTTTTATTTATGTAAATGTATCTTTCTATTTTGGTGCCTTTGTAGTAAATTTTGGCCTGACACCGTGTTCTTTCTGTTCTTGTCACTTCTGATCAGTAGCTTCATTCTCACCTTTCTCCCTGTGGGTGTGTCTAGACTACAGGGTTTTGTCGATAAAAGTGGACTCTTGTCAACAAAACTATACCTGCGTCTACGCTATCGCCATGTTCTGTTGACAGTAAGTCGACAGAACGCGGCAGTTTTGTTGACGGCGGTAAACCTCATTCTACAAGGAATAACACCTTTTGTCAACAGAGTTCTGTCGACAAAAGGTGCTATTGCATCCACCCTGTGCTTTTTCAAAAAAAGTGTCTAGACTCTGTCGAAAAAGCGGCTTGCTTTGTTGACAGAACTGGCTGTAGTCTAGATGCTCTTTGTCGACAGAGGCTTTGTCGACAGTATCTGTCTACAAAAGCCTGTTGTCTAAACTTAACCTATGAGAGTAGAGCTTGTAGAGATTTAGAATACATACAATGTGGCGATTGATCTGCTTTAGCCCAGCCATTCTGAGTTGGGGTTTTTCCTGCTTTTGGGCAAGGGGTTAGACTCAATGGCCTCTTGAAGTCTTTTTCGTGAAATCTTCTGTGACTCTCTTACTGTATCTTCATGACTTGCTTTTTTTTGTTTGTTTTTTGTTTTTAATGTGGTCTCTAGTGCTCATCCATCATCCTCAGTACACGTACGTTACCTTGCTCCACAGAGAGGGGGACATGGGAGCAATGTACTGATTACTGTATAAATTCAGTGTTTCCTCTTTAAAATAGCTGAATAAGAAGGGTTAAATGTATAGAGAATTATTTGTGCATTTCCTGATTAACAAATACCATGTGAAATTTAATCAAGAGTCTTTCTATAATTGTTTAACCATCATGCACAACATACTAGGTAGATACTCGCTACCGAATTGTGTAGTGTAGTTTTAAAAAGCTATAGAAAAGTTACAATTTGCTATTTTAACTATAGAGTTTTGTAGAAGTTACTATATAATATATCTATAGAAACATACTGGTTTTGTGCTTATTAAATGCCGGAAGGCATTTTTATGATGCTTCATAGTATCCTACCTCCACTATTGGTTTTCTGCTAATGGATCCTTTAGTTAAATAGTTGAATTCTTATATTGTTGTTTAGTGAGTTAATATATTTTGAGCTGGCTATTGATACCTTTCTTGTGGCTTGCGAAATGCCAGTGCACTACTTCTTCTCTTAAACCCTTGTACTCCGAGTGGAGCATAGGTCATCTATAAGTCTCCTCCACTTCACTCTGTACAGGTGCAAACTAAGGCTACTGTTGGAGAAGAGATACACGTTTATCTTATTTTGGAATGCCCACTCCTTGTTTTGGAAACCCACCGGTGAAAGTAAGTTAGGTGGCCCAATATTAGACATGCTCAGGTTAATTGTATGGACATGGGCAGTACAGATGGATTGGAAGTCCAGCTATCAAAGTGACATCAGAATTGAGAGTGAGTTATTGCAGTGGTTGATTTGTTACATTAAAGCCATGGGAAGTGAATGTCTGGTGAGCAGAACGAACTGACACGGTGCTTCAGTAGAGATATGAGTTGTTAACCCAGTTGTCTTTCACTGTATTAACTTCCTCATGCACTATGCCCTGGCCCTCCCTAGGAACCCCAGGACCATGTGCTATATAATAATTTAATTCTATGGGTTTGTTCTTTAAAAAGGAGTCAGTAATCAATGGGTAGAACATAAGCTTTAGTGCACCAGGTTGGACCCCTCGTGGCCAATGTTCCCTTCTCTGTCAAGCGAAGAGCCCCAGTAGAACACCAGGTGGCAAGAAAGTAACGGTTTAGGCATCAGCAGCCATCTATGAATGGCAACAGTGGATAGTATCAAGGCATTCTGTGCTCTGTCAAAGAAAATCTTTTAAAAGGAAACAGAATCCTAGAACAATCATGCACAGTAAACTTGTGATATCCCTTCCTCCCACCCTATCCCTTGGCCTTTATACTGGTGCTTTTCCATAGGCAATGGGTACGAATCATCCCTCACATTTCTGTTATGTTGCTACTTCGCCATATTCACGGTCCTTTATTATGACCCACATGGGCTGCTGTAACTGGACTGTCGTACCCAAACAAATCACAGTACAGGATCTGGGCCATAGATGCCAGTGGAGACTATTTTAATTTATATGGGTGGAAATGGGGAGACCATCTGGCCCTAGTAGAGGCCGGGAGAGAATTTTCTTGTGTCCCTTCAGAACCTAAAATAAATGCCAAAGCAGATCACCTGATTACCACATAATACGATGTTACTTTTTAGCAACATAGGGTGCAAACCAAGGTCAATTTTCAAAATGCCTGCAGTCAGAAGATCTCCTCCCTGGTTCCTCAGTTCTGCTACTCCTTTCATGTGGGATTGCTTTTCCATATTGCTTACTCATAGCTAGCTGTATGTTTTTGACAGAACTAATTGGGAACACAAAATATTAATAAACCGACGTGAACCAGAAATATATAGTTTCCACAACGAGCAATTACTAAAAAAAATCACATTATGTACACTTAATACCTCACTGACCTTTTCTGCTGTTCCTTAAGTCTTTTAAAAATTCATTTAATTTCAAAGCCAGAGTATTAGCCCATTTATATGTAAATTGCCTTTAATTCATGCATTGATTTAAAAGACTAATCCAAAAGATCCTTTACCACAAATGACCTTTTTGACTCTGTACTTCTGGGAAAACTGTGGTTTCTTGTGACCTCACACCCACCTGTAGCATAACACATGCCTACTTCAGTCTGTATAAATCAGTCATAATAGTGCAGTTTTCTACCAACATTGAATTATTAATACCATA